TAAATCAAAATTCCACATCCATCACTGGCTAAATTCCGCATCCATCGCTGGGTATGGCGGCTGTAACACCTTTATCTCAAATTTCCAAATACCAAACTTCGTTGTACAAAAAATTTGACCCACTTGTTGAAATTTTGACGATAGTACTGTTGCAGACTCCGCTGTTAAGAATATAATTAAGCCATGAGGGGGCTTGTTAATTTGGACTTGGATTTGCGGATAAAAGTGTGGTACGAAACAATTAATTATCCGTCCTACACATGTTAATCACATTGATGTTGTTTAGAAAAGTGTAAAGGTTAGGTTTTTATCATCTAATTGCTTTTTTGAGCATGTTTTGCATGCCCTGAGCCGCTGCGAGAGTAGGATTTTTTGTGTTGATAATTTTGTCCACAAGGCTTAGTAAATCCTGACTTGAACGTTTTCAGTATTTCTTTTCATTTCTTTTCTCTTGTTTAATTTGTTTCTTTTTTCATTTTTTGTATCTTTAGTTTTAGAGGAAAGCTAGGAGTCCAATGACTATTTTCGATATGGAGCCTTTTTTTGATGAAAGATAAAATTTCATTCCATTAAATAGCACTAATGGCAGAAAAAACACTGAAAATGTCACAAAAACACTTAATCTGAAAAATTACTAGATTTAATATATTTATAAAATACCATCAAATGTGCTATTCAACTTGTTTAAGCGCAAAGTTGATGCTGAGATCTGATGAAATAACCCAAGAAATCACAGATCTGATAGATTTGCAAAAACATTTTTAGATCCAATAAACAAACAGCCAAAAAAAAAAAAAAAACTAGTCAGCTCCAAAAAACTAATTGTACTTTCAATATTTTCAATATGGAACTTGGATTTTAAGTTTATAAAATATTGAAGTATCTGATACTACTTTTGTCCCAAGTATGAACTACTTGGTAGTTTTTTTTTTGGTGTCTTATAGAGCTCTAGGGGGTCGTAACCCCTATACAATCAGCTCCAAGTAGCTCTAGTTTTTTTTTTTTTTTAAATTACTTTATTTCAAAAGAAGGATGAAATACATGCTAGAAAACCAAGCGCTAGAAAACTTCTACACTCTAACTCTACGCAAACTTGGGACCCCCATCTGATCAAGAATGAAATCCCCCCTCACCAAACGAGGCAACTCCCGCAAAGAATCGTACGTCAGAATCGTCCCTGAGTCTGCTCCAATGTTTGCAAGGCGATCAGCCGGTTTATTCGCTTCCCGAAAGCAGTGAGAGACCTTACTGACGAACCTTTTGGCTCTTAACAGTTCCTGTAAATCCCCCTGCAACTGCCACGGACACCGAGACTTCCCTTGGAGGATCTGAACCAGAACCAATGAATCAGATTCTAACTGTAAATCAGAATACCCACGATCAATAGCCAACCTCACACCAAAAATCAACGCCTTCAATTCAGCCTGTAAACTTGTCATCTCCCCAAAGAAACATGAGTACCCCAAGATAAACTTTCCTTCCGAGCACCTAAGCAACCCCCCACCTCCACTCACTCCCGGGTTCCCCCGAGAGCATCCATCCGAGTTCAGTTTGACAATATTGTGAGCTGGGCAGCTCCACAGCACAACCAAGGTCCTGACCACCCTCTGCAGGCCAGCCACCATCCCGTACCAACCCGGCCAATCATAAACAGAGAGAGCCAGGCGTTTAAATTTAAGGTGGAAAATATCCCTGAGATCCCCAAGTAGCTCTAGTAATTCCTCTGGTGGATACCGTATTGCTTGGTAGTTTTCATTTTGGTTGCTATGAAATTTAGATTTGCTTATTCTCTGTTCTTATAGAAAACTAAAGTTATTTTTCCTTTAAAACTCTTTATTAGCTTTATATCCCATGCTAAGCATGGAATTATAAATACTTGAAAACAATTTGAATTTTCAAAATAAAGTAAGGATTTAGGCATTTAATTTTATGACCCATATTATATTGAGATTTGAAGTTTGAATTTAGTAAACAATAGCCACTGGATATCATCAATCAAATTTATTAAAAATTTTAATAATCTTAGAAAATGATTAGAAACATCTGAATTGGAGAAAGATATATATATATATATATATAGATTGATTGGTTCCAATGATTAAATCTTAAGCTTCATTTCTTTGCCTATTAGTTGTTTTACGTGGATGAAAGTTTAGGTAGATTTTCCACGTCAAAAGCCCGATAAAATATTAAAATTTTTTACCTTATCCTTTAAACTATAAAAGAATCGGAAATCATTGCCACTTCATGTTGAAAGTATTACAATGAACTGCCAAACAAAGTAACAAGAATTGGTTTCAAAACTTGATTGTATATCACTTTTCTTTAGACTTTATTTGTCTGGTATAATGTGTAATAACCTTGGACAAATATTCTTTAGAATAAAATGAAGTTTGTTTATATTAATCTCTTGCAAACTATGGAGTGCTTTTGAGAAAATTCAAAATAGTAGAAAAGTGGTTTTCTACCGCAAAGCACTCTTTACTTGACTTTTTTATGTAGGAGAGATTGTTTAAAATACAAATGAATTTAATAAATACTTGTATGAATAGATTCAAGGTATTATGTACAAATTCATGTACTTTAATTTATGCATCACATGATTGTATGATCAAAGACATGAATGTATCCTTACATTCAAGGATTCCCACATATATGAATATATTCATGAATGAATATACATTTATCACAATGTATGCACATCTTAAAATTATTTGATTCATAATACAATACATATATGTACATTCTAAAATCACTAGATACAAATTTTGAAAATTTCCAATACTTCAGCTCCTGAAGATTATCATCAGGGGCGGAGGGAAGGGGGGGCAACCGCCCCCCCTCCAATTGTTAAAAAAAAAATTTCTAAGTAAAAAAAAAATTATTATTATGTTTTGCCCCCCCAAAAATTAATCAAAAAATTCACTTTGCCCCCCCAAGGGCCCAAATAATAATATTTGAAAGTCCAAATAACAGAGAATTATTTTTTTAACGTATGAAGTGCAAAGAAAAGATAGCCCATTAGTTAACTTGGCAATTGACTGCCACAATTCTTCTTCCTAAGTAGAAACGTCAAAGTAGAAAATAGAAACGTCAAAGGCTTGGGCCCCGAAGAACTTTCTCCTGTGAAGGCTTGAAGAAACTTTCTCCTGTGAAGACCTTCCCCCGCTGGCTAAGGATTGTACATTTGTACCATTGCATTTTGCATGGTCTAGCTGTCTAGGTAATTTTTTTTTTAACAATTGGAGGGGTGTAAAACAATTTTTTTTTTTACGTACAAATTTATTTAGTAAAATGTGGGTGTAAAAAAGTTCGCCCGCTAGTTGTTTGATGAATTGATCGAGAAGGACTTGTATTATTTTTCGTACTTGTAGCATTGAGTTTTATTGGGGAAATAACTTGTCGCATTGAGTTTTAGTTTTCTGCTTGTCATTTTACTGAATTTATTTTTTTTCCCACCTTTGTGAATTGTGTGTGTTTGGTAGGAACTATAAATTGAGTTTCAGTTAATGCAACATTAAAAAGTTGTTGCGTTTTGCAGCTGCAGAGCTGAGCTTGAGTTTCCTTTGGCGGGAAATGGAGTCTTGTCTACTTATGACCCATTGGTGTAGCCTTGATGAGTTTAAGTAGTCTATTTTGCACATTTAATGTTGGAACCATCTGCCATTTTTCGTGTGTCTGAAACCTTTCTTGGAGCCGCACAACAAATGATCACCATGAAGTAAATTGGAAGTGGAAATCATTTATTAGGGAAAAAAAATAATAAGTGATGTGACTTGGACAACTTTGACAAAGGGCTCATGTTTGTAAAAAAACATGGTAGCTTAAGAAAAACCAGTGGTACTTGAGTTGCTTTCAAGTTTCACTGAGAAATTAATTTTCTGGAACGTATAAATTGCATTCATGAGCCTGGCATGGATACTTTTACTGGCATGGATAGTTATTGATTATTTTTCGGATTACAGTAGTTGATGAGTTCAAGTAGGTGTTAGTTGTTCAAGTTCAGCCGATTTAATAACAAGCTATGAAAACTTCCTTGAGATATGTTTGAAATGAGAACTTGTTCTGCTCTAATGGAGATCTTTTATCATTTGTTTGCATTTTATTATTGAATAATACTTTGTGCATGTCACTTATGTCTACTTAGGTTGCAAATGTTCTTGCTGCTTTTATTCCATCTCTATAGGCCATAATCAGCATTTCTCAATCAATTTTATTTCGATTGCAGGTTGTTGTTTGTTGCAAATATAGTGGTAATGGCCAACAGGACAATTGATTCTTTTTTCAAGAAAAGACGTCTAGAACCAAGTGGAAGTGGTGAAATTCCTTATCCTCTTCGTGATTCTTCTCCTAAGCATCAAACAAAGAAATTTTGTAGAGCTGAATCATTAGAGTTTGATATTTCATCCATAGAACGTGATCCTGGAAAGAGAAAATCCATTTGGGAATATCTAGAGCATCAAAGGGATGAGGTACGGAGAGCATATATTAAGTTTGGGCCATACCAACCTGAGCTTCCGATTGAATCAATGGTTGTTGACAAGAAGGGCCGACGTTTCCTTTTCTCTTGGTATAAATTGTTTCCAGATTGGTTGGAATTTTCTCCAACAAAGAATGCTGCCTTTTGTCTTCCTTGCTCACTTTTTTCCAAGCCAACGGACCGTTTTGGATCAATGGCCTTCACAACTAGTGGATTTAGATCATGGAAGAAGGTAAATGATGGAAAAAATTGTGCATTTTTAAATCACATTGGAAAAGATCCTAACTCATCACACAAAGTGGCAATGCAATGCTATCATGATTTGGGAAACTCATTGCAACATCTTGACAAAATTATTGAGAAGCAAAATTCTGAGCAGGTTGCAAAAAATCGGTTGCAACTTCAAGTTTCCATAGATGCTGCAAAATGGTGTGCATTTCAAGCGGTGGCTTTTAGGGGTCATGATGAAAGTTTAGATTCTAACAATTGAGGTAATTTTATTGAGTTGATCAAGCATGTGTCTTCTTATAATGAAAAAGTGGCTGCTGTGGTTCTTGATAATGCTCCTCGAAATGCATCTTATACTTCTCCTACGATCCAAAAGGAGATATTGTCCATTTGGTCGATCAAGATACAAAAGCATATTCGAGAGGAGATTAGTGATTCAAAATTTTCTATACTTGTTGATGAGGCTCAAGATAGATCAAAAAGAGAGCAAATGACTATTGTTCTTAGATTTGTGGACAAGCAAGGCTATATTCGAGAGAGATTTTTTGACATTGTTCATGTGCACGAAACCAATTCCTTGACTTTGAAGAAGGAGATATGTGATGTCCTTTCTCGCCATAATCTTAGTGTGCAAAACATTCGTGGCCAAGGATATGATGGAGCTAGTAACATGCGTGGAGAATGGAATGGACTGCAAGCATTATTTATTCAGGAGTGCCCTTATGCATATTATATTCACTGTTTTGCTCATCGACTGCAATTAACATTGGTAGCAACATCTCAAGAGGTAATTCCTGTGGAACAATTCTTTACAAACTTATCTCTTCTCATAAATTTAGTTTCATCTTCTTGCAAACGGGTGGACCAACTTAGAGTTGCTAGAGCTGCTAGAATTGCTGAATTGATTGCTATTGATGAACTTGAGACTGGTAGGGGTCAGAATCAGATGGGTACCTTAAAACGGCCAGGGACTACAAGATGGGGGTCTCATTTTAGTTCTATCTGTAGCTTATTCACAGAATATGAAGACATTTGCTCTGTCCTAATTGATGTTATCAATTATGGAAATACATCAACTCAAAGAAGTGAAGCTGACAGAGTTTATGATTTCATGACATCCTTTGATTTTGTTCTTGTTATGCATATGATGAGGGACATTTTAGGATTTGCACAAGTACTTTCTCAAGCTTTACAATGCAAATCTCAAGATATTTTGAATGCCCTTAAATTGGTTTCAGTAACAAAGGATCGACTTCAAAGTTACAGAGATAATGGATGGAATGAATTGTTCACCAATGTAAAGACATTTTGTGATGCACGAAATATAGAGATGCCCGATATGAATGTCATTTATAAAGCAGGTCGAGGAAGAATTCGAAAACAAAATGATCCAATTACCATGGAGCATCACTACAGGATTGATGTGTTTTTGGCAACGGTTGATTCTCAAATACTTGAAATGAAGAATAGGTTTAAGGAAGATGTAATAGAGTTGCTTATTCTTAGTTCAGCATTGCACCCCAAAGATAATTTTCAGGCTTTCAATATTGAACAAATTTGTCAACTTGCAGACAAGTTTTATTCAGCTGACTTCACAGATCAAGAGAAGTTACACTTAAGAACTCAATTAGAGCTTTTCCAGATTGAGTTTTCCTGTAATTCTCAGCTTCAAAATTTGTCATCACTTCAGGAGTTGTGCCAAGTGTTAGCGAAGACAAGAAAGTCAATGTGCTATACTCTTATTGATAGATTGATTCGTCTTATTTTGACTCTTCCTGTTTCAACAGCTACAACAGAGCGTGCATTTTCTGCTATGAAAATCATCAAGACTTGTTTGCGTTCTAGGATGGAGGAAGACTTTCTTGCCAACTCTATGATAATGTATATTGAGAAAGAAATTGCTAGAACTTTTGATGTAAATTCAATCATTGATGACTTTGATAAAATTAAAAGTCGTCGTGCACAATTTCATATGTCCCACACAGTCAAATAGATTTGTAAATATGATGATATTTTTGTATATGTGAAGCGTATAAGTAATTTATATAAGGTTGTTTCTAATCTTGTGGTATATATGTTCACATTATATTTTTTTTGTAAATATATTTTACTTTCATTGTTATAGACTCGCCCCCCCAAAGTTAATTCCTAGCTCCGCCACTGATTATCATTCATGTGAGTTTCACATGAGCAATAATGGTCTTAAGGGATTCTTCTAAATTGTGATCATGTGGGAGGATCAATTAATCATATTATAGAGACAGTTCATTTATATTTTTTATTACAAAAAAGAGTTTCAAATTTTGAATTATGTTCCAATGTATGGTTAAGTGAATTTGATGGCAGGAAAAACTCTAAATACTGTCCTTCGACCATTAGACCAACCTATGGTATACCTTTATGTTGTCAATTCAACTGTTTTTTCTTTTAGTAATTTACAGAAGGTGAATTGAGTTTGATTTTTGGAGTTGATTAGTTCTTATAATTTGAGAAGGGAAAACGTGTCACAAATTAAAGAGAGTACTTGTTACAAACATATCTTATTATACTATATACACTTATACATAAAGAGGGAGGGAGGTGAAGGGTGTAAATAAATTGTATCATTTAATGTATTGTCTAATCTATCCTAATTTCTAAAGGCAATTGTACCATTTTAACTACCCACCTCCTTATGCTGCAAAGGCCGCGGTTGAGTTATTGTTGGATCTACATTTGCACATGATTATCCTTGAGGGTGATTGTCTAAAAGTCGTTAAAATGCTTCAAACTACAGAGACACATGCATCAGCTTGTGGAATGCTGGTCGATGATACTCTCATAGATATACAAAGCTTTGCAGCATGGGAAGCATCATGGGTGCCTAGACAGCTGAACAATGTTGCGCATTGTGTTGCTAAATATGCTTGTTCTATTTCTAATGGCTGCATATGGAGGGACTTCCCTCCAGATTTTATTGTTACCGCGCTTGCTGCGGACATCATCTCAGATTAATAATATTTTTTGTCACTTTCTATCAAAAAAAAAAACTACCCACCTCCTTACAACCACACCAAATCTGTTGAATTAACTACCACTTCTTTAACAAAAAACTACCATTTTTCTAAAATACTAAAATGTAGTTGAACTATTTAAACTATTACTTTCCAACAAAAGAATAATTCTAATATTTTTTGGTATCTTTTTCTTAGTTGTACACACATTAGGTGTACCTCAACCACTAGTCAATAATAATGTGTAACGAAGAAATGAAGTTTTAGTTCCCAATCTTCAATCTATATGCTGTTTTAGTTCTTAAAGTTTTGGTAAAAGTAAATTTGGCCCTCAATGTTTAGCAACTGTACAATTTTAGTCCCTAACATTTTGATAAGAGCAAATCTAATTCTCAAATTTTCCAATTTAAAGCAGATTTACGACATTTGAAGATTTTTTTTTCCAAATTACAGAAGGAATTTTCATGTCTTGATATGTGTCCATGAAATTAAATTTCAAAATAAAGAAGCAAAACAGTAGCTAACTTTGTACAACAAGAACTAATAACTACGATGCTAATTAATTAACTAGCAAAAAGAAGAAAATTTTTTGCTTGAGAAACTAAAGGGCAATAAATTATATGGCCCTCAAATTATTAAGTTGGCCAACTTTTAGTCCTTCAACTATTAAGTGCACATTTTTATCTCTCGAACTTGTAAAAGGATATATTCTCCACCCTTTTAGCTAGGGATAATTTTATAAACCTCCTAGAGATTTATGTTAATATTACTTTGCATCTCTAAAGTTTCAAAAAAATATCAATAACCTCTCCTAAAACCATACTTTTTTGTAACAACCTTACTCTTGCATCATTAAAAATTCTTATAATAATCATTTAACGAGAAAGAGATATTTTTCTCCCAATTCTATCCTTTTTTGTTGTCTTATATAGAATTTTTCTACCAAATTGATTATAATGTAAGATTTACATATTTTGCCTAAAAATTTTCTTTTCCATAATGTTTTCCCTAAAAATTGTTCAAGTAGTAACAATAATTTTGTCAATATATATACTATGATAGTAATTAGTGGCCCTATCTCACTAATATGGAAGTTGAGTGATATTTTTGAAACTTCAAAGATGCCAAGTGATATTACCATAAATATTAGGGGAGGGTTCTAAAATTATCTCTAGCTGAAAGGTGAAAAGGATACCATTTTACAAGTTTAAGAGGCAAAAGTATGGATTTAATAGTTGGAGGCTAAAAATCAACCAACTATATAGTTTAAGGCCATTCTGATATTTGCCCAAAACTAAATCTAGTCAAAGCACTCAGTTCATTGATTCATAACTTACTTTCACTCTCTATCCTAACTTATTAAAAAATTGTAATATTTAATTTTTCCATATAGATTAACAAATTTCTTTTCTTTTTTTTTGTTTCTTGATTAATTAATTATTAGCATACCATCATGTGAGTTATTTTTATTGTTCAATGGTGCTCATTTTTCTTTTATTTCTTTTATAGTTGCTTAATTTAATAAACATGAGAATGCACATAACAGATTCTGCCAATATTTGGAAAAATTCACCAATTATCCTAAATCTGCTTTAAATTGATAACATTCGGGACCAGATTTGATTTGACAAAACTTTAACAACCAAAATTGTACTAGGTACTGAACATTGGAAACTAGATTTGTTTTTGCTGAAACTTTAGAGACCAAAGCTGTACAAGTGCCAATCATTGAGGATCAATATTGCGTTTCCCTCTATGGTGTAATAAGAAAAAAAAAATCTACGAATACTGTTCAACAATTGAAGCCAGTGAAGATAAAATAAGAATAATATACATAGGTAAGCAAAATTGTTGGATACTTACATTGGCAATTTAGCATCATAAAGTTACCTTATCTTTTAAGGGAAAGTTAGGTAAAACGTGAAAATACTGTTCGTTTATGCCAAGTTCCCACCATAGCGACTGAAGGATTGTTGTGTATGTTTTCTTGCATGATTGTGAAGAGGAGAAGTAAGTGTCAAGTATGTCTGTAAAAGAAAGAGGCAAGAAATGAAGGAAGAATTTAAAAAGAGAAAAGGATCATGCGGTCTTGTTTGTTTTTCCCTTTTGTTTTGTCAATAAAAGTTACTAGTGATCAATAATGTGAAACTTAAAATCTGGTGTTACTTGAAATTTGGCAGTACCATATGTATTTCATGTAGGTTTCAACTTACAAGTAATTAACAAAATTACAGATTATCGCTCTATATATTATTCATAGATGAGTATTCACTAACTTCCTACACTGTTTTTAGCAACTCCGAATTAAGGTCAAGGGACTACCTTATATTAAAAAATTGAATTATAGTTGACCTAAATAATAATAGAGCATCAATTCAAAAATTGGTGTAATTTTTCAAAATATCTATGAGTAGTCTAACAAGCTAATGTAATTAATCCTTCAATACTGTATGGGCAAAAAATGGACAAAATGAAAAGAACAAAAACTAAAAAAAAAAAAAAAGAATCAAGAGGTGCTTTAAAAACAATTCTTGAAGTTCCAAAAAAATTTCATTAACAAAATTAGTAGTTCATTAAGAAGATTGAGCGACTTACACGCTTACCTTTAGGACATGTACAATCTCTTTTCTTTTTCTTTTTTTTTTATTATAATGAAGAGAAAAAATTACAGAACATAAACTCGTGTTACAAACGTCTTATTTTCCGAATTGACGGTAAACCTAATTTGTCAAGGCGAATTGCCCCACGAGCTTCCCTTGGGAACATAGTAAAGCTGTCATATACCTTGACCTTTTGATGTGGGTGAGAAACACCCACATTAGACAACGCATCAGCAACTTTGTTAGCCTCTCGATAGCAGTGTGAAAAATGAATAGGCTCCTGCAAGAGCTTCCAAATCTGCCTGATCTCCCTTCGAATCTGCCACGGACATTGAGTGCGACGTTGAATGATCCCAATCAAGAGCAGCGAATCTGACTGCACACTTATATTTTCAAATCCCCTATGTTTACACGTTTGAAGACCGATAAGGAGGGCCCAAGCTTCTGCACGGAGAGATGTAGTTTCTCCAAAATAAGCCGAAAAGGCAATTAGTGGTAAACCAGTTGGATCCCGAAGAACTCCTCCACCTCCACCCACTCCTGGATTACCCTTAAAACATCCATCCGTATTAAGTATGAGCCGTCCTGTCTCCTTTGTCTCCCATCGAACAAATTTGTATGCAACCGTACCGACAGACATGTTCGATCGATCATACAAATGACAAAAAGATTGGAATCGAAACACTTGGTGGAAATGGATCCCCATGATGGACTGAATTTCCGAGAAAATGAAATGACAAATAACAGACGATCGCATCTGAACACCCTCAAACATGGCTTTATTCCTTGCCTTCCAAATCTGCCAGCAAACTATATTAGGTAGAATGCGGTCAATAAGCTGTCGTGTCTCAGTATCATGTAACCGCAACCACCACCCTACTATGCGGGACCGCAAAGAAGACCCTGAACAGCTGAATCCACATAAACCTCCAAAATAGTTCCAAACTTCCGATGCTATTTGTCCATTGGCAAATAAATGCTCGATAGACTCTGCAGATGCCGAGGAACAACACAAGCACTTTGACGGTAAATGAAAACCAAGTTTACATAACCTATCTGGTAGCGGTAGTCTTCCTAGAAATAGACGCAACATGAAGAATGAGACTTTCCAAGGAATTTGAGGATGCCAAATCGAAGCAAAAACCATCGACTTGTTGCGGGCCTGCCTGATGTCTTCGAAAGCCGATTGTAGAGAGAATTTGCCAGATGTGGTGGGCATCCAAATGACTTCAACTTCACTCCCTTCTTCCGGTGGTATGTGTTTCACAATGGAGGACAGTTTCTCCCTTGGCATGCTAGGACCTAAGGAATTCAAATCCCAGTGACCATTGATGACAAAATTGCGGAAAGTCAAAATTGGGATAACTTGTGCTTGTAGGAATAACGCACCACTTCCCAACCAGTTGTCGTACCAAAAGTGACAAGACCCGTCCCATAACATTGAGAGCTCCACTTGTCGACTGACGTTGACCATCCTCCGCTAGATTGCCGAGTCCGTTGATTTGAGTTCTACCTGACAAGGATGAAGGCTTTTGCAATACTTTGCTTTCAAGAACATTGCCCACAACAATGATCCTGTTCGGAAATTCCACCAAAGCTTGCATGAAAAAGCTTTGTATACGTCCCATAGTCTTCGAAATCCGACTCCTCCCTCGTCGACTGGATAACATAAATGAGACCATCGTATCCAATGGTACTTCGAGTCGGCGGATGAGGATCCCCACAGGAAGGCTGAGCAGGTCTTTTCTATAGTTTTGAACAGCTTACCCGGGAGCACTGCAGCTGACATCAGATGCATTGGCATTGATGCCAACACATGTTTGATTAAAACTATTTTGCCTCCAAATGAAAGTAATCTTGATTTCCACGACAAAATCCTCCCTAGAATAGACTGACAAACTCCTCCATAGTATGATGATTTACATCTTCCAAAGTATAGCGGGAACCCTAAGTAACGTATCGGAAATGAGTGCCAGGTAAACCTGGTGATACGTTCAATTTGCCTTCTTCTCGCCAGTGACATCGATGGATGTACCAAGTAGCAGCTTTTTTGCACATTAATCAGCTGCCCCGAACACCTTTGATATGCCTCTAACACCTGCATAATAACCTTCAGAGAAAAGGAAGAGCCATTTGCAAATATGAGAACATCATCCGCGAATGCCAAATGAGTTATAGAAGGACATCCATATGGAAATTTAAATCCCACGAAGCTTGATTGCATGATTAGATTGTTTAATCCTCTAGACAACACCTCGGACCCGATAATGAATAATGCAGGTGATAATGGGTCACCCTGACGAAGGCCTCTCGAAGATTTAAAGAAACCGTAGGAGGAGCCATTTATAATGATTGAGAACCAGACATTAGAAAGCAATCGCCATACTAGGTCAATAAATATTTCACCGAATCCAAACTTCCTCAGAACATTAATAGTATGACCCCATGACACCCGGTCATACGCCTTGGACATGTCGAGTTTCATTAAAACATTCCCACCTCTATTCTTTTTTCCCATACTCGATACCATCTCTTGAGTTAGGAGAAAATTTTCCGTTATATTGCGGCCCTTCACAAAACCTGTCTGCTGGGGGGAAATAATTTTTGGCAATAAAACAGCCACCCTGTCCGCCAAAATCCGGATAATAATTTATTGAAAAAATTACATAGACTGATGGGCCTAAAATGAGAAAATTCCTAAGGATTTGGCTTCTTTGGAATTAGAACAATTGAAGTAGAAGTGATGAAACGGGGCAAATCCGCCCCACAGAAAAAGCTGAGTACCGCATTGTAGACATCTTGGCCGATCACCTCCCAAGCAAATGTAAAAAATTTTCCTGTGAAACCATCTGGACCAGCAGCACTTTCTCCATCCATTGACTTTATAACTTCGTACACTTCCTTAATCGTAGGCACTGCTTCCAGCCTCTTATTATCCTCTCCCGAAACCATCGGCGGAATTAGGTGTAGCATATCGGAAGATGACTCCAAAGTACCCGTGAAGAGATTATTGAAATATTCTGTTGCCTCAGTTGATATATCATCATCCGTGTCTACCCAAACGCCGTTGGACTTTTTTATACGGTGTATCATGCCTTGAACGCGTCTCTGCCTTACTACAGCATGAAAGTACCTTGAATTTTTGTCTCCATGACGAAGCCATTTAACCCTTGCCTTTTGCCTCCAAAATTGCTCTTCAATTGACATTGCATGCCACAACTTTGCCTGTGCCTTATTGAGCTCAATCTGACACTCTTCTCAATAATCTTGATCCGCAACCTCCTCTGCTCTATGGACCGCCATTTCCACATAACGAACAGCATCAATAACATTCCCAAAGTGTTGCTTGTTCCATGTTTGAATAGCCCTTCTCGTGGCCAATAATTTGGAGCACAAAACGCGCAATGGAGATCCCCCTACATCTTGATTCCAAGCCTGGCGAATCACATCCAGGAATTGTGGTTTTGTAGTCCAGACATTTAAGAAGCGGAATGGCCGAGGTTTATTATCCGATCGGGTCGCAAACGTAATCTTCAATGGTGCATGATCCGAGGGATGTCTTGCCAAGTGAAGCACAAAGATTTTGTTAGAGAGATCCAAGAAAGATCCATTGATTAAAAATCTGTCCAACCTTTTTGAAATACGAGCGCTACCCCGCCGATTATTAGACCATGTAAAACTAGCTCCTGAGAATCCTACATCGAAGACCTCAGCCTCCTCCATGAAAGACATGAAATCCGCGCCCTCAGCTATAGCAAATGGACGCCCCCCCCGTTTTTCATGAGGTGCCAATATTACGTTAAAATCACCCCCAATACACCAAGGAAGTAAACTAGGCTTATCATGTAATAATGAACACCATAAATCTTTGCGCTCCTCCACTGAACACTTTGCATGAATAAAGGACATGACAATTTGACTAGGAAGCAATGGACTTTGAATATCCAGAGTGATATGCTGATCCGAACTACCAACGATAGAGCAAACAAAATGACTACTATAGAATATCCAAATATCACTTGAGCAATTAACAAACACATAATCAAAGAGTAGACGTAAGCGAATGGACTCAATTTTAGATATGTCTAGTTTTGGCTCACAAATGACAACAAATTGAGGGTGATGCATCCGTATTAATTTAATCAATCTTCTTAGATTAGGAGGTTTAGCTACCCCTCTAATATTCCAAAATAATCCATTAATCATGAGAAAGAACCTGGAATGAGTTTTTGGATGATGTATCTGACCGTAACTGTCTGTCAGATGGGAAAGGAGCCCGCACACCCTTCTTCCGCATTTGTCGAAAATCACAATGAAGCTCCTCGGATTGATCAATGTTTAGAGCATGCATTGACGATTCCTGCATCTTTTCTTGTGGGACCCCTATTCGTGGAGACAAATTTCCTGCAATATTAGTCAAGATAGGTAAATTTTCCCCATGTTGTGTGGAAGATACATCTTCTACGCCGTGTAATTCAACATAGAGGTGCTGCAAATCTTTTTTGTCGGCCAGCAATTGATTTCCATCGATATCATTGTTGTCGGACAGATTATGTTGTTCAATGCTTAAATCATTAATTTCGGCCAGCTGCTCTTGTTCATTAGTCAAAGATTTCTCCTTAAGAGGCTGGGTCCCTTCACTTTGAAGACCAAGGTGCTCCTCCAGCTGGTTTCCCATTACCGTTTGTCCCCCATGCATTGCCGCATTCTCCATGTATCCATTTACATTAGGTGATTCAGGTTGGGTTTCTTCTTCAACCACAGTAGTGTGGACACCGAAGTCTTGCTGAAAGTCCCCTTCCTCATCTTGCAAAACAGATCCAGATGCCTTGTTCGTTGTACCTGGAAAATTTTTCCTTCCATCCAGCGTAGCAGTAATACGCTTTTCATGAGAAGAAACCACAGAATCTGTTGTTTCATTCGCATTACCAGCTGAGTTATTATCAGGTTGAAGAATAATAACCTGATTTCCAGCTAACTGTGAGTCCTGCTGCATCTTCATGGGCTGTTGCCGAGACCCTAACTTATCCAAATTCTTTTTGCACTCAACATGAGAATGTCCTAAACGCGAGCAAATAGAACAATATGGAGGGATGTTTTCTGGCACAATACGTTGCCAGAAACCAGATTCCCCTTCGACAGCAATCCAAACTCTTGGGACTACAAGCTTGGCTACATCTATCTCCACACACACCCTGGCCACACTAGGACGAGTCCCAGCAGCTGTTGCCGAATCTAGGAACAAAGGTTTTCCTACTGGAGATAGAATGGAAAACAAAGAGTGTTTATCAAAATAATGAATAGGCAGAGATGGAAGAGTTACCCAAACCGGTACTAGAGATGACTCTCTTTGCACATGAAATTCCCTGGTCCATCGAAACACACGCATTGGATAGTTCCCCAATTGCCAAATTCCTCTAGTCCAAATTCGGTTGAAATCTACTTCAGCAGAGCACTTAATGAGAACATGCCTATAATCCAATAATCCAATGGAAACTTGGTCTTTGAGGTTTAAAGAAGCAAAAAACTTTCGAGTATCTTCCAAGGAAGGTTGTCCATGAGAAAATTTGCCAACCAAGGTCCATCGAAACTGACAAGGGTTTATTTTACGTATTTTTAAGTGCATTTTATTAGTTGATTTTGGTTTAATTATTTAGTTTTATAATTAAAATAAAGAGGTTTTTGGTAAAATTATATATTTTTGGTAAAAGTGGATAATATTGCATTTCTATTGATTTTAATGGTAAAAACTTCATTTTCTTGCAGGTTAATGATCCAATCACCAAAAGATGTCAAATGAGGTGAAAAGTAGATAATTGGTGATGAATTCAAGTGGTAGAAAAGAGAAATGAAGTGAAAAATGTTCAAGTGAGAAAATGCAAGTCAAGACAGTTTTGACATTCTTCGGTATTTTGGCTATATCTGGAGCTATACTTATCGGATTGAGGTGATATTTATACCATTTTAAAGCTAAGAAAGAGACCTACAATTGGTATGAAGACATCGAAATCCAATTCTGCTGTTTTCATAGACAAAAAGTCGAAATACAGAAGCTGCATTCTGTGGTCGGAAATTGAAACAGGGGTTTGACCAGAGGATGGTATTTTGACCATATCTCAGCCTACAAAAGTCCAAATGGGATGATTCTTGATGCTATGGAAAGATAATTCAAAGAGGTACGACTTTCAAGACTAGCACAAGAGCAGATTCTGCCGTTTTCATGGAGAAATAATTCATGCAATCTGTCAAAAAGAAATCCAGCAGCAAATCCTGACTTTGATACATGTGCAACTTTTCTTGAAAACTTTTTGTGTATTTTAGTTGAATTTGCAGCTGCGATTTTGGAGATTCTTGACAATAATCAAGCAATAAGGTCATGGATGATAATTTAAGTTTTGTCTTAAACTCATCCAAACACCTATAAATACCCCTCACAATTCAAGAACAAAGGGGGAGACCTTTGCCAACCTTTGTTAGTAGATAGAGAGCTTAGAATAGATTAGTTTTCAGATTCAATAAAGCTCTTTGAGCTAGTTTCGTTTTTAGCTCTGTTAGATATTAGTTTTCATATTTCTAAACACCTTGTTCTAGTTTTTATCTTTATAAATACACTTCTTGCTGGTTTGATTATCAAAGCTTGAGTGCTTAAAAAGTTGGAGAGTTTGTTTATTCTGTAATTGAATTAAGCTTTTATCTACCACCACCTGGGGTCGGTTTTACCACCCTAATCGGATTGGTTTTAAATCGCTTTTCTATGGTCGGTTTTGCATATGAGCTTTCTCTACCATTTTTCCTTCATTTCTAACTCTTCTTCTACTTTATTAGAAGTTGGAGTTATTTTGATAATCATGTCTAGCTAGTTAGATCTATCCCTTGTTCTAGGGGTAGATGAAACTGGTTAGTGCAAGATTTGGATTTGTATGCTGCTAGTTTGCACTAACCTTGTTCTTAGTAATTCATTAATCTTGATTTTCACATTTGTTAAAGCTTGATCATCTTTTGCAAATTATATCAGTTATTGTGATCGCACGACAGTGGTAAACAATAATGGAGAAGATTAATTGAATTCTAGCATGAAACACACGACAGTAGTGAATCACTAGAAGGGTTTTTCATAATATTTCACAAAGGCCTAAGATCATCACTGGTTGATTTTCACCACGACAGTAGGTGGAACCTAGTGATCGTGACAAAGCTTTTCTGCACGACAGTGAGATAAGTATACATTTGGAAATGTTCCCTACCAAGACAAGAGTGAATTGTGACTACAAAGTACATGGCAAATCTGATCTTTACTAGCTAGTAGATTTAATTCCCCCAGAACATCTTTTCTTTTGACATATCTGTTAGTTGGGATTCATGCACTTAATCTGTTTTTAATTCTTTGATCAACACATAATTTGAAAAGTTTAGATAATAAGATAAGGTTTAAAACTCTGGTATTTGTTAAGTTGCTCCCTGTGGGATTCGACCCTTGTACCTTTGCTATACTATATTTCGATCTGTATACATGCAGCAAAACGAGGTATTAGGTTATAACTTGTGAGTTGATTTAATTGGTAAATTTTAACCTCGTCAGAAACGGCACTGCAAGTCTGTCCGCATCTTCTCTGGAAAAAACAACCGCAGCTTCACCCTTGTAAAGAGAAACCTGTCGAATCTGGATTGGAGATGTAGCCGGCTGTGAAAAGAGCTGAGAAAAGGATTTTTTTTGTTGTAGGAGATAGTTTTTGCCCCTCAGCCGACGGCTGAAGGGCTGCCATGAACACTTACGTTCACTGATATTGAATTTGAGAGAGAGAAAGAGAGGAAAGGAAACAAAAGGCACTCTACCCATGTACAATCTCTTTTCATGTAAACAAATATGCTAAAGAAGAAAATTATGGTTTTATTTGATCTCTATTAGATGTTTAACACTTCATTTCACTATCATGGTGACATGAGAGACGAACCGTCCATTTGTTGTACGAGGATGCCAAAGCGAGTTTGGACAAGACATCTAATTAGTCAACACGCACCAATGTCAATCTTACATTCTTAATCTCATTCTTTATCATAAAATAATTCTGCAATTCCATCCTAATAACCTGTCGATAGACAGATTGTTAAATACTCAAAATGAGGGGGCGGATAATTTTGACTTGGAGTTCGGATAAATTAAGTGAGGTACGGAACAATTATCCATCCTACACAACATGTTAATCACATTGATGTTGTTTGCAAGAGTGCAAAGGTTAGGTTTTCATCATCTAATTGCTCTTTTGAGCATGTTTTGCATGGATCTGAGCCACCGCAAGTGTAGGGTTTTTTGTGTTGATAATTTTGTCCATGAGGCTTAATGAATCCTGACTGGACCATTTTCGGTATTTCTCTTCTTTTCTCTTGTTTTCTTTTTCTTTTTTATTTTTTATATCTTTGGTTTTGGAGGAAGGTTGGGAGTAGCATGACTATTTTGAATATGCCTTTTTTGGATAAAAGATAAAATTTCATTTAATGAAATCTACACTAATGGTAGAAAATAAGCTGAACATGTCACAAAAATATTTAATCTAAAAAAATCACTAGATTTAACATATTCAGAAAATAACAGAAATTACACAGTAAAATTTTAACAGGTCAAATAAGTCACGAGTAGCTCAATAAACATATGTGCATGTTAATACCATTAGATATTTAGATCTTCTATCTGATTGGTTCAAGATTAAAATCGATGTTGAGATATGATGAAATGATCCAAGAAATCCTAAATCTGAACAAAATCATACCCTAATAAACAAATGAAAAAACCTAATGGTACTTTCAATATTTTCAATATGGAACTTGGATTTTAAGTTCATGAAAAATTGAAGTATCTGATGCTACTTTTGTCCCAACTATGTCATATTTGGTAGAAATTTTTTTTTTTTTTTTGGATCTTTTGGGGGGCCTAAGGCCCTATCTATTGCAAGCAACAAATCTTGGAGGAGTAATCCCTATACAATCAGCTCAAAGTAGCTCTAGTAATTCTTCTAGTGGATCCCGTAGTACTTGGTAGTTTTCCGGTTTGGTTGCTATGAAATTTAGATTTGTTTATTCTCAGTTCTAACGGAAAACTAGAGTTAATTTTCCCGTATATCCATCTCTTTACTACTTTTACTAGCATTTTGACCCGTGCTATGCACGGATTTATATTTCAGTTCAAAACAATACTTATATATTATAGTATAGGATAAAGTATATGAAAAAGGCAAAAACATTCAAAGCAGTGTATGCTTAACATGTTAAAAAAGTTTATTTTGTAAATACAAAATAGACTTTCTTAATTTTAATATCTTAAATAAATTGAAACCAAATTTTGTTAACCTATTGTTTGTCAATATACGATAACAATTTGAATAAAATAATTTAATTTATAACGATTTACATGATAGAGCAATTGTAAACTTATTTATCAATACATCATATTAAACCCATATATCAAAATTTTTAACATTAAAAATATAAAGTATAACTAATTCATTTTCCCCAATTTTAGTAAATTATTTCTACCATCTTGTAATTCTAAAATTGTTGAGTTCTTATAGAATAATGTTTTTCATAAACTTTAATATAGATTTAAAATAATCTTTGTAAGATGTGTTTTTAAAATTTTTAAATTTGTTAAAAACTATCACCCTTTCCATCTTCTTTTACCTATTATCTAGCTATCTACTGTCTTTAATGACTTTTAGATCTCTTACCATAGTGTCATCCTTCCTATCATATTCCCAAAATCCCTTCCTTTCTTCTCCCCTCTTTCCATCCAATCTTGTAATAGTTCACCTTCATTTTTCGACTTTTCTCACCACTCTTTAACTTCTTGTTATTGTCTTTCCCTCGCCTATAGTTAGCCTCTAGCTTTCTATCATTGCCACCCAATTTTCTGTTATTTTCCCTTCAACATTCTCCCAAATCCTTTAAATCCATAATTTGTGTTTTTAGGCTAGTAGTAGGCTAGTACTACTTTGTGTTTTATTCAGTGATTTCATAATTTAGGATTCACAAATTGTACCATTATTGATATTTTAAATCCATGACCAATGAATATTATTTTCTTTTGGTTTTCTATATAATTTGTCCTTTTAGTTAGGATTACTAAGTTGAAGGGTAAAATATTATTATTTTCTTTTTTGCTTTTAATAGGGTTGGTGATTTTTTTCTCTTTATTTACCTTAACATTAATAGATTTTAAATCAAATACCTATAGAAGTGGGTTGCTTCTTACTTTTAAATTCAAAAGACAGGAAAGTATATATAATAATTTAAAAAATTCAAAATTCTATATAAAAAAAAAGAATGAGGAGTTATAAGTATTTTGATCTAACCATTCTGAAAATCCTCCCTACAATACATATAGATATAGATGTTTCGTGTACGTACATGGCACGAAATTGTAAATAATTCAAAACAATTTAAATTATTAAAATAAAGTAAGGATCTAGACATTCAAATT